CTATAAAAAATCCTTCTCTGAATGAATCGCAACGGATTAAAACCACAATAAGAGAATAGCGCTGTGTAATATATAAAATCTGCGCGAAATTAAATATAAATCACGAAGAGAAAAATTTCATTATTAAATAATTTCATTTTAATGGAGTTATTAGGATTGTTAGTTTATGTACGTTTTATATTTATATATATATATATATATATATATATATATATATAATTGTTTGGTATTATTGCTTTTATATGGGTTTTATTCGTCCATTCTGCAATTGGTTATCAATTATGAAGGATCTTCAGAGAACGCGATCATGAAAAGTACAATCGTAAAAGTCGCGACTTGTTTGTCACCCAGTTTCGTTTTATTTCAATTCGACTTTTATCTTCGCTGTATTTTTTACGCCTTGCGCGGCGCTGATAAAGACGTCAATAAAGTACGCAAATTAAATTACGACGCAAAACTTTGCGATCTTTTGACTTGCGCGAACGACGTCGGCGGACTCCCAAGAGACGAGATCAGGCAAACATCGCCAGCGTAAAAAGAATGCGAAACAAATCATAAAAACGTAATAAAACACGAATAAAACAAAACAAACGGCGCGGAAGATACGAACGAGTCAAACACATCCCGGCAAACACGCAAGAATTGCCGGGATTGCAAAGAGCAGACTAAGATAATTGTAATCTTTATTTCCGCGAGTTGCTTACGCTTTCTTGTGGATGTTGTTGTTATTTTTATGATTTTTTTAAAACGTTGCGGGTTTCCGGTCGTTTACAACGCAAAATATTATGTCATTGCTGGGGATGAAAGAAGATGTGAGGAAATGTCGGAGATAACGTTCGAATGGATGACGTCTTGATTTTTACAAGCTGTGGATGGAAACAAAAGCAAACGACTAAGCGTGACAATCGAGACAATCATAAACCAGCGAATGATACAAATTGCCCTTTGAGTTAAGCCGCAAAAAATCCCCGGGGATGATGGTAAGTGACAAGGATATAAAGTAGCGGAAGACATGTCGAAAACATCTGCCAAGGCGTCATATTATCACAAAATAATTGACACATTACAAGAGTCCTTCTTTAATCCTAAGAAAATAGCAAAAATTATGGTTAAAAATTTAAAACTGATTGTTTTCGTTGGCGTCTGCACAAATTTTTATGTCTGAGCGTTTCGAGCAAAGTTTAAAATAGAATTTCAGTTTTGAAGAAGGACAATGCCGCAGGTAACGACGTCTGATGAGAGTTTGAAAAGGTTCGCCTTCTGCGTTGGCGTGAAGTTTCTTTCGTGGCACCCCGGCAAGTTTTTAAGTCTTTTATACGAGCTAGATTTCGAGCACGTCGATGGCGCAGGAAAGGCACATAACTAAGAACTGAAAACTAAGAACTGAGAATCGCGCGGGCGCGCAAACTGAAAACTTCTTTGCCTTCTTTACGGCCGCCGAAAGGTAGCATGCCATTATGGAAAATTAATCTTTAAAAAGAACCCACCCAACCGGGGGTTCTGCTTTTAAGCGGGCGAAGATTCCCAGCTTACAGAGACTAGAAAAGAAACGAAGATTGCGACGTGTTCGTCTGGGCCAACGAAACTTTCGGAATTGTTTAATAAAAAAAGTTGCACGCGAAAAGATTCGGTTTTTTTTAACATCAAGCAAAACTAATTGAAATTTGAATGCACCATGACAATAGTGCTGATCAAAAAGTTTAAGTTTAGGAATTTGATTGTTAGTTTTTCAAAAGTTGAAGATTTAAAATCAAGTTTTACTTAGTTCAATGTTTAATCCTTGCAATAACATTTGAATTTATGCACTGCTGGTTAACACACCGATGCCAGAAATGAAAATGGACTTGCCGAGGATGGCGTTTGCAAGGGTGGTATGCCATTAGCACCCCTTTACGCGCGACCCGCACGCGCCGAGTCTTATTCGCACCCTTTTCATAAAACCGGAGCGTCACCGTAATTCCGGGCACAAACGCGTCAACCGCGTCAACCCTTCCAAAGCAAACATACCCTTGGCCCTAAAGCAATGACATACTTAGTGACTGCGCCGCAAGTTGACACATAAACACGAAATATTAACTTTTATTACGTAAAAATCTGTTTTGTTGCGCTTTTATAAAAATATTTAATATTAGAAAAATGTTTTAAACGTCAGCCATGTTTTCTCTAACAAAAGAAAATTAAAAGTAAGGACAAAAGACGAAAAGAGGACAAAACGTCAACGTCGTAAAATAATTACAGCTTTGCTGTTTCCGGCCGTATAACAGAAAAATTATGAGGAAAAAATTGTTTTCTACGTTTTTCAGTCTTTGTCCTGTTCATGCCCTTGTTTCGTCCCAACGTCGCCGACTGAAATTAAGACTAGCTAGCTAAAACTAGGAGTTAAGGCAACAAGCTGCTCGTGCCCGTAGCTCGAATATGCGACGCGTCGTAAAAGTGTCATTTATCATTTAGGCAAATTTTTTACGCCCCTTTGTGCCTGGCCGGAAGACATGTCCACCCTCCGCTGCGCGAGGTGCACGCGGCCGAAGACTAATTGCGCGTCGTTTGCGAAACATTTTTGCCGACACGAAAATGCTGCCAACTGCATTGCAGACTGCAGGAGTAAAAAAAGTGCTGCAAACACCTGCAATACAAATCATTTGTTACTCGGACTTGTGTTGACGATAACCTAAAAAGTGTAAATTATATATAGAAAAATATTGCGTGGTTTAATCAAATTATTAAAATGTATTCTAGTGAGATAAAAGTTAAATGGCGGACAAAGTGGGGTACATGTATTATGCATGAGGGCTGAAGATGAAAAAAATGAGAGATGGGGCGGAAAAGTAGTAAAAACAAAGTTTTGCTAAAGTTTTTGCAAATTTTTGCAAGTCTTGCAACTTTTTTGCTTATGAAAGCTATTATAGTGTCTGGTGTAAGGGTCGTCATTGCATATGACAGGTGTCTCTTGCAGATGTTTGAAATATTTCTTAAAATTTGATATTAATTAGTAAATAATTGAAGAAATAAAAAAAAACGTTGTTTTATTTAAGGGTGCAGTGGCGTGACGTTATCTTCCACTTGCATCTTCTGCTTGCTGGCAGGACAACCAAGACTGACAGGACCTCGGAACGTTTACTTTACACTCTACTCTTTACACTTTAGAAAATCCAGACACTTGGGGTGTCTGAAGCGACGCGGGAGACTTATTATGGTCGCGTTACATCGTTTCCGTAATTAATGAGTTCCTGCTGACGCTGATAAAGATGCCATCGTTGGCAGGACGTCGCCGCACCAGCGTTGCAAACGTTTTACTTTACACAACCCACAACCACCCTCAAACCCATCCCTGACCGACAACCAACCAACTATCAGAGTAAAATAGAACTCTCGGGTTAAAAAAGAAACAAAAATTTATTTTTTTGTACTTCCACGATTTTAAGACACTAAAAGTAGCACTTTAATCACGGACAGTCAAGGTCGTGACAAAAGTATTTTAGTCACGGAGTGGAGCTTGCGTCTGGTCTTTTGCCTACGATGCAGTACAAGGCCATATCAAACCTACTCTCATCATGCTTTGCTGCTGCTCTTGTCGGTGCGGCGCGTCTGTTCGTAAGTGATTTCGAGTGGGTGCACAAACCCCCATGTATTTATAACCTTACTTTTCCCAGTAGTGTGCGAACAAAGTTCGAAGTTTTAAAATACAAAAACTTCAACGTTGAAATAGAGTAAAAGTAGAAAAAATAATCAAAAATATCACTTCACTAAACGTTGTTAACATGGTTAAAGTGGCGTTTGGCGCACTTGTTACTTAATATACTATTTCATCTTAACTTTAACTTTACTTAGCTTATATTCACCCTCTCGTACTACCATTGTATTTCAATACTATTTCATATTTTAATAAAACTTTAAGAGCCATGTGAAATTTATACGTACCTAACTCTAAATGTATGAATATTTATACGATTAGATAAATTAATGAACGCTAAGTATTACATATGGTATGCGATGGGTAAGCGGCTTTCGAGTGGCCCGAAGAACAATTTGTACCCACCTCCAACTAGTTAGGGCGTGCGCGGGTGTGAGTTTTACCGATTCGCCCGAATTCGGTGCGGCTGGGTGCGATTAGATATTTATTACGTTAAATCCGGCGCCCATTAATAATGACCGATTAAGACGAGCCGTGTGCGCCAGCTTGCCGCCTCCACTGGCTTCCATTAGCAGCCATATCCACCCTCGAAATCCACCCCGGCCAATATTCTCAACTTCAGCCTGCTACTCCAAACAATATTCCCACTTTTCAAACTATCTGTGTCGAGTTACCTTTAAATTTACATAGCTTTAACGTAAATTACCGGTATAAAAGTGTAAAAAGTTTGGAATAGACTCTAATGATATGCACTGAGGAATATGGTTTACAAACAAATGATTATTTAGCAAAGCCTAGCACTTAGAAGTAATCATAATCTGAGATGCATACAGGAATCTGTAATGTCTAGGGATTAAAACGTCTATTGCAAAGCGTAGTTTCGAGTAGGTTTCCAGTTTGAGCAGGTAGATTATTCATGCTGCATTAGTATGATTAATTGCAATTATAACTCATCATTACAGGGTGCAATCATTTGTGGTATTGAGAATTTTGCGTTACAATTGACCCCAATCGTATGTTTATCATTTTTGACACACTTTCTAAAATATTGATTTTCTTTCTATGCGGGATCAATCAATTTAAATTGCGCTCATTTTATTCACACAACCAGATTTAAATTTAGCTTATTTTATAACAACACCGCACTGCAATTGCATTCTACTCGTACTGCACGAATGAAATGATTCTGACCCAAGTTCACGATTCACAATTTATTCAAAGGCTGTGCAGTTGAATGGTGCGCGCATGCGCACTTGCCTTGGGTGCTTTGAGTGGTTTCATGTTGCCTCAAGTCTTGTACAAAGTACTGCGATGCTGCGCCATGGCGTGTTCCTCTTCCTCGCCGCGCCGCGTGCGCATTGTGCACTGCGCTTCGCTGAGCAAGTTCTCCGCAGCTCACGCTCTTACTCAAGAGTCGTGTCTCGGGTCTCGGTAGTTGCCGTGCCACTACTTTAACTTCATTCCATTCCACAATCGCGTTCGGTCGTTCGGTCAGCGCAACGCCTCGTGGTATTACCACGCGTTGATATAATATTTTTAGTTTTTCAAGCAGCCACACACAACGCCTGGATTAAATAAAAGATCGGAATTGTGTGGCAGTTTTTAGTTTTTAGTTCGGACTTGATATAAAGACGGTTTTTAATTCAAGTGTTCTTCGTTTATAGTGGTAGGGGTGACCTTTTGTTTGTGTTGAACGAAATAAATTGATAAGCAGTGTTTGTTTATATTGTGTTGTGTGTTGTGTTTATTTTCTCGCATGCGAATTGTGATGTTTGTGATTTTATCAACCTTAATGTTGTTAAACAGGTAAAATGCAAGAACTGTGAGGACTCAAGGGCATTGCCGTAAGCCCTTCACGTTGAGGAAGTGAGGGTGAACAACTGGCGAGTGAAACAAAGTGCGCGAATAGCAAAACAAGGCGTAAACGGATAACCAGATTAACTGATTAACAGCAAACGCACCTTCTAAAAGGAAAGGAAGAACAAAACTCCCGGACACACATAGGTAAGTAGTAAATAATTTGATTTACAAGCTTAAAACAAATTTTACAAGGCTACTACTACTTTATGTCACACATTTGCATTCAGGTAATATTCTGTACCCCAAAAGTTTAATATTTTCTTCAAAATCTTCTCTTGGGTACCTTGGGTACAGCAAAGTTACTTGGTATGCACGACTGTTTGCTGTATGTAATTCTCGTCTTGTATGAACAATGTATAAGTTATGTATGGATGTACACACACATACTCGACTAGCATTGGTAGTATTTGTACTTACCTCGCATGCTAAGTCAGCTCTCACAGTGGGAAGTGGGAGAAGTTACGTGTCTAGATGCCGTCGATTGAAAAGCGAAATGAAACACACGATTCTCGGCCGGTAGGAATTGGTGCGAGGAGGATGGGAGGCGAAATGCCGGTTGACCTTTTCTCGGTTCAATCTGTTCAATATCTCGTGAGTCAAGACTCGAACGCGCACGGAACGCAAACGACCGACGGAATTTGCAATTTCGGCGCGGCGATCTTAAATCTGAATCTAGATTTTGCAAACTGGATTCAGAATAAAATATAATATAGAAAAAGTGACCCAAAACTATGCAGAAGTAATATTTGTTCTAGTTAATTTATTTTATTTCATAATGTTGGCATTATTACGGGTTATTGTTTTGCTTAATCAGGTTTTTGCATTTTATAAATTTACTAGCGACCTACCCCGGCTTCGCACGGAAGTAAAAAACCGCATCAAAATCCGTTGCGTAGTTTCAATGATTTAAGCATACAAAGAGACAGACAGAGAAAGCGACTTTCCTTCTCCAAACAAAAACATCAACCGGTCAACTTCAACCCACACGTACACACATACACACGTCTATGCTTGGAGGGGGAAGCTACGAAGCATCGCACAAAGAGCAGACGGGAATAATCGAAAACTTTGTATTTACGACATCACATTAGAAACCTCAAAAATAACAGTACTTCTCCACTATTTAATGGATGTTATTATACATACAAACCTTCCTCTTGAATCACTCTATCTATTAAAAAAAACGGCATCAAAATCCGTTGCGTAGTTTCAAATATTTAAGCGAACAAAGGGACCGGAAAAAAAAGCGACTTTACTTTATACTATTTTATAAATTTATTCCAAACATTGCAATGTTTTTGTGTTTATTTTATTTCATAAAAATATTGCACTCATCCGAGTGTTGACATCGACTTGGCTCAGTTTCTATTCATCGTTGCACATCTCGCACGTTGAATATCATCTTACAAATAATGAAGTTGAAGTTTTTGTTCTTAAAAAAATATGATCTTTTAAATATAATGCGATTGTGAAATTAAAAAATATATTCTAAGCATTCATTCAGAATAAAACGATTATTATTATTTATTATATTAATCAAACTTTTTTATTCATTTCATTTTATTTTTTAAATTTATTGTCGTTTCTTATTGTTCTTGAACTTGTATGATTTGTATGCATACATTTTATATTTTCTCTTTTTCGAATCATCTTCACATTTGTATACAATTTATGCGCGTTTACGAATCGACATCGAGAGCATTCTTTTATGCCATTTTTATTCGCGCGAATTTTCTTATCTTTGAGCGCGCGCGCGTTCGAGCGCAATTGCTATATTGAGGAATTGCGCCTTTTGTGCTCTCATTGTTTGCCATTTGCACTGTTTATTCACTCGAGTCCTCGGCGTCGTCATCATCATCACTGGCGTCGCTTTATCCACGCCTCGTTTTTCATCTATTTTGCACGTTGTTTTATTGCGCTACATTTTACCACCATCAACGTACTTTTTATATTGCATTTGTTTTGATGTTTACGAAATTCTACCATCGACGTTTTTCGACTAGGAATATTTATTTACTTTTAAACAAATGAAATAACTTTTGCAGCGAGTGACTGTGAATGATATTAATCTATGTTAGAATTAAAACGCTATGCGGAAATGGTTAAAGTTTAGTAATTAAAATTGCCCGAGCATAGAAAGTATTGGAAAATGCAAATGTCACTCAGGAACACATGCAAATTGATATAATCCACAATTGCATGTTAAAAGCTGCAGGAACTCTTGTTTCTCGCTTTAAACTAGGTTTAAACAAAACAACTGTACGCAATTCTATGTATCAGCAAGGGAAAAACATCACGAATCGAACGCAAAGCTGCTAAATGCAAATTGTAATATGCGAAAACATAAAACTCAACGAATAGCATAGCGGTTAATGCGTGTGAATGTTTGCGGGCAAGAGTGATTAATAAAATTATATAACGTATCATACGCTGATTACATTACACATTAATGTAAATACATTATAACCTGCAAAGTGACTGAATAAGTATGATTAGTTGTCCATCTTTGGACGGATGTTAGTTTTCCTTTTACGTTATAGATAGTAATAAAAAAAAAACTGTTAGTTCTGAACTGGCGAATATTTTCTACAATTTTATGATGTGTGTATTTTTGTGACGTCGGATGGAAATGTCACTAACATTTCTGTTTAATTTTATGGAAATTATTGAGGTTTTGTTGGAAATAAATTCCAGCATACGAGAAGAATGTGTGTTTTATGGCCATAAATATGATTAATTAGTTTACATTATTTTTGGGTAAAGCACTACGCGATTTTAATTAAAATTTACAAATATGCATTTTGTGTAACAATGATGCAAAGTTAATTTCCAAAATTATTGCTTTTGCAATGTATTATTATGAAAAATATAAAATATTCAGATTAAAATTACCTGTAATAATTTTACAATCTACATTTTGCATTATTGATAACTTTGGGGTTAGTCCAATATATTCCACAAAGTTTCTTTAAATATACAGTGTGTTTAATGCTTTATGTTTACCAGTAAAATATAAACATAAAATGAGGAAAATCTTGCTGGATTTCGAATAAGATACTTAATTATTTAACGCTTTTCTTTGTATTCTCAACAGAATGAACGGAAATACTCACTTTTGTTTTTTACACGGTGTGCTGAACGCATTATTTCTGATACTTGTTGCTCGCATGCTCCGGTTCTTCTCCAGAGTGATAATGTTACGCACTTTTGCCGGAACAAAGTAGAAAAGCAATATTGTAGCTTGACCGCTTTGCCAAGCACTCTTGCTTTTTGATCGTGAATCGTGTTCATTACATTTTCCTGTAGAGGCTGTAGCAGTAGAACCGGCTAAATTCTACAACATTTAATATGTAATAACATTTCCGCCTGAATCTTGTTTCATGCGACTGTGATGACGGTTTAAGGCGTGGAAAAGTGATTTTTAATTGTTCCATAAAGTATAATTATTTGTTTGTCGTTGCGGTGTTACTCAACGACACGGATCAAGACTTACGTGTTTTAAGAGGCATTAAAGACTTGAAAGTCAAGGTTCATCATAAAATTCACGAAGCATATTTTATAGTTTCCGAAATTGTATCATTTTACGGTTTGGTGAACTATGTGTTGTTTTATCTCCGCATAAAATAAAACAACAAATAAAAGAAAATATTTAAATACATATTTTAATATTTTTCATTAATTTATGCAAATTATAATCCTGATATTATGATATTCTGATACAAACGTTGCTTTACTGCTTCGATTAGTTTGATTACTTTAATCACTACAAATCCATGTCAATGAATTAACTAGTGAATACTTTATACATAGTTTCTTCTCGGCGAATGCCTAGAAGTCCAGTTGAATTACTTAGATTCTTCGAACTTAGGTCGATCGCCGTTCAAGTACGAATTCCTTGCATACCACTCGCCTGATTACAAATCATTTCACTACGTGCGTTAGCAAAGTGCAGGTTGCATGTCGTCTCCTACCGAGTTACACTCCCATGACCACGTTGAAACTGGCTTAAGTCATATCGTTAGATCATTGCATTGCATGTGCATGCTGTGCGCATGTGACGTGTGAACGTCGGTGTGAACAATCGGCGTTCATAAACTTTTCACAGGAGAACGTGCATGAATTTATGTGAGTTTGTCTCTTGATGGGTGTGTTTCATACCTGAGCATACATAACTTAAATAGAAAAAAATCATCAATAACCAACTACAACCACAACAAGAGTAGCAACAAGAAATACCTTTCATTATTTTATTGTTATATGCAGAATATTGTTAACTATGTAGGTATTACGTTCTATTTTGTGGTTAGGTTTTACAAAATTAATGTTGCGAAATATTGTATGGAGTTTTGTTTCGTTCTATTATTTATATTGAAGTTGAACAAGGCTAAATTTTTGTGTTTTTTGTTACTTACAAGAAACGAAAGGTGTTGGAAGGTTATTTTCAGACAAACTAATGTCAATAAGAAAGTAGATGTTAAACAATTTGTTTAAACACGTTTAATCTTTCACATTAACGAATCAGCCACTACAAATTTGTTTGATTTAATTGAGCTTGAATGACTTGATGGTTTTTATTGGATAATGCCTTAATACTGCGCAACACAATTTACTTTTACAACTTACTACTTTCAGTATTGCTATAAATGTAGTTTTTTTTCTTATAAAATGCACTTTTACGTATTTATGATTAATTTTCTCTCAGACAGGTTATTTCAAATGATGCAATATGATTCCACGATATGACGATTTCTCATCTTAAATGCTAGAAGATGCGAACGAAAAATTCCAATATATTGACTAACAAAAACTCCGGTTTACGTCGAGGTGAGGCTCACCTCAGCCACGAGAAAGCTGTTTCTTGCTGCGCGGATTCCACTTAAAATAGAAAATGAACAAGGAAGTTACGGCATTGCTACCGCATGGCTCATACAAGAGATTACGATATTGAAAAACGCATTCACGTACACACAATTGTCCATAACTCACCGCCATTCATTCGCGCAGAAATGGCTGCAAATCGCAAATTGACAACTTCAACAACACAAAAATACAGAAAAGAAAATTGAATTCATTCATATATAGAAAAATTAATTGAATAATAGTCATTTAATTTCTTGCGGATGTAAGCAAAGGTTTTTATTTTT